CGGCCCCCACCACTGTGGCTTTGTTCCAAAGGAAGTTGGACATCCAGAAGATGGCCAGTTACCCAGTCTAATTAGGATATTACCCTTTTATTAGTATAGATACATACATATAGAAACCTAGTATGGTTAATATAGCATAGTATATAGTATATATAGTACAGTGTAGTAAACCATCACATATGTAATATAAATATATATATAGGGTAGCACAGTATAGTATAGTATAGTATATACAGGGGTGGGCAAAAGTAGTTTTAATTATATTTTTTTTGTATGGAAAATACAATATTTAATTAATCCATGCATCCATCCATTTATCCATCCATCCATGCATCCATCTGCCCATCCACCCATCATCTACTCATACATTCCCTCACCCATCCATCCACCCACTCATCCATCCATGAGGCATGCATCCAGCCAGCCACCACACCAGGGAGGACAGGACATTAGCCATGAAAGATATGGTCACGGCCCTCCCAAAGCCAATAGCCTATGGAGGAAACAACTAAACAGACAGAAATAAAGAACACAAAAAGGTTGATTAATTATTTAATGTCTGGCCTCCTCTCATGCCGACCAGGCTTCCTTGGATGGAAGGAGCTAAGTTTACTAGTAGTCACCTCTCTGTACCCGGCCTGTAGGGTCAGCCTTAGAGCAATCTCCTTGGTTTAAATTCTTCAAGACTCCCTTTGGCCACAGCCATCCATGCTTCTAGTCATCTCCTGTCCCCGCCAACATCTCCTGCCCTTGCTTCTCTCATCCAGCCAGACTGAACTCCAGCTCTCTGCCACCTCTCCAGCACACCTTGGCACCTGTCTTCCCTCTGCCTGGCACACATCGCGCCTTCAGACCTCCCCTTGTCCCTCTGTCCACAGACTAGTTCGAGACTCCACTTCCTCTGAGAAGCGCTCCCTCACCCTCAGGCTCCCCTCACAGGCCTGCCTTCTGCCTCCCAGCTGTTTCCAGACCCAGCCCCCTCACCCCATCCATCCCACCAGGACTGTCACTCCAGACAGCAAGGCCTGTGCCC